AACTTAATTTTAAATTAACCTGCACAGTAGTCTTGAAATGAGCAATTTAAGCATTTTATACATTAGTTGGAGCACATGTGGGCATTTAATTTCAAATATTGGATATTAATATAATTTTCCATGTTTTAAAGCAAGTTACATGGTTTTAAGCATAAATTGGATTAATAACTACTTTAAAAGTCACATGTAAGACTAGAAGTTATATAAATTCATCTTTTTTAAATGAATATATTGATGCATATAGAGGTTTACAATAAGCTTTTGAAATACCGTCTTCAGTTCGCTTGCCAATACATAGCTAGCGATATTTTATTTTGAAAATATCATTGGATTTTATAGATATAAAAATCCAAAAAAACATTCCAAATTTTAAATATTTGCGTACCATAACTTTAGAATGCATGCAAAATATTAATTTTTAAGCTTTTTCCATTTTATGTCCTCTTGGATAATCGAGTTGTGGATTCGGTGGTGATACTTGTTTTGAAAAATATCATTGGAATTTATGATTATAAATATAAGAAAAAATATTCAAAATTCAAAAATGTTAGCACAATACCATAACATTAGACAACATGAAAATTTTTTCATTTTAAATCTTTAACTGCCTTCGGTCCTCTTGCATAATCAATTTTCTATGAAGTCAAAGTTTAGCATTTAAAATGATATTTATGTGCTTAATTACTCCCAATTTATTTATTTAAATAGATCACATAAAGATGCATTTTCACTAGGACATAATTTTTTATATGATCATTTTCAAACAGAACAATAGCTTGCAATTTTACTCGAGCTCAAATCAAGAAAAAGCCCAATCACATTAATCGATGGGTTATTAAATTCTTCACAACTATTTACATATCTCATGCACATTTGATTTTATTCTTTTAAAATGACTTGAACTACAATCTAAGTAGCTATTTTGTATCTTATAACATGCATTTTGTTAGTTCAAGTTTAGATCATTTTGAAAGTCTTCACATTTCAAATTATAAATTAATTTTACAAATTAAAATGATCAATTTTAAGTTATTTTACAAGTTCAAAATGTCTATATTTTGAGTTAATCTAATAAATCAAAATGATCCACATTTTAAATCATTTTAAAAGTTCAAATAACCCAAAATTTTAAGACATTTGCAAGTCCAAATCACAGGAAATTTCAGCAGACTCCCAACGTTATTCACACTTAGGGGGCTGCATCAAGGGTGTCTAGCCTGCCCAGCTGCCTATAAGACACACTGGTCAGTATCATGAGACACTGTGGCAAGAAAAAAAAAGAAAAAGAATATTATACTCTCTTCAATCTATAAGACGTAAATGGGTCTTCAATCGTTACTTCAGGGACGACAACGATACCGACGATTACTCTAAAGAGAAAGGGAGAGCAAGTATGAAGGATGAAGCATCATAAAGATGAGCTTGTCGAGATGACTAAATATGTGATATCTGATTGGTACTCCAAGATATTTGTTATCAATAAAGACTGTTAAGTGTGAAATGTGGATCCTCAAAGAGAAGATTCTCATTAATAATTCTTATAATAGATGATAACTTAGAGAGTCTTCTAAAATATCCCACCAAAAATCAACTTCAACATCTTAATTCAATTTTAATTCAAACATTTCCTTCAAAAATCTGTGAATCCATTAAAAGTACATTTGAGCATCACATGAAACCAAATGTCATGTGAAAATGTCGTTCAAAGATCCGTGTGTAGGAAAAATAGAGGAACAAGAGGCAATGGAGATTGAGAATGTCTATATGATTGAGCATATCGACGAGTAACTTAGTCAACTTTTTCTACCATCCCTGACACTACAGAGATGCACCTATTGTTCCTCCACAAAGGCAACAACGCTAAGACAGATGGAAAAGAACATTTTGATCCCCTCTCAAAAGGTGAACCGGAGAAGGAAAAAGAACAAGAAGAAAAAGAGAGACATGTATATTGATTGTTGCTCCAGTTAAAGCACAAAAGTAGATGTATAATCAAATTAAAACAAAGTTGTGGGCCCCAAAAGTTCATTCTCCGCAATTTGAATTTCGATGACCCCCTAACGCCATCCCACATAAGGAGTTGCATCAAAAATATGGGATTGCACATCATGCTTCGAAAATCATGTATAGGTAGTGTAAACACAAAGGCTTGATCTTCAACCCTTACCATGCTACAGAAAAACATATATAGATTATATGCATTAAAATTTGTACACATTTCCTTTCGCGTTATGAAAATAACATAGAGGTACTCATATAAATATCCCCGCTATGCCATAAAAAGCGTGTATAAAGCTTACCTGCAACGTTGCGAGCATTGTATATGAGTTTCACCCCCACCAAGCTATGAAAAACATGTTTAGAGTTCTGCTCTTTATAAAAAAAAGATCGCAATCGGGATTTCAAGAATTTTTAGTAATGAATTTTATACTTTTCTGCATATGGTCAATCATGAACAATGGTGTTGATGAAGATGATTCGATGTTTGATATCTCACTTAAAACATCTTCCTGTACCTAGCAATGCTGCTGCTGGAGCAACTTTCAATGATAGCAACTATCCACAAACTAAGGATGGTCATTACAGACATCTTTAAGTTGCTTGAAGTGGTAACACCCCTTCATATACTTCAAAATGCTTCGCCACTTGAATCGACAAGAAAAAACCAATCTTTGTCCAAGCCTTTACTTGCTATCGCAACATTTAAAGGCATTCCAACAGCTAATTAAAAGTTCAAATTTTGGGGTTTATAGGCAACAAATCTACCAGGATACTCCGAACCTTTCTCATCGATATCTCTGTATACTTCATCTTCTTTCCTTAACATTCTTCAATTGATTTCCTTCCTATAAAACTACACTGGCCGCATGATAAGCTCAAAAGAATAATCTTTGGCACAAAAACTCCATCACCCTAACTCAAGTCAATATACCTCCACACTTCTTTGTAGACCCATGTCTTCAACTTCAAGGAGATTTCAGACATTAAATTAATGGTTTTCAAAATCTTGGACTAACCAAGACAGATGATTCAATGGATTTAACTTCAGTCCACGTGCCTTCGATGCTCCTTTGCTTTACACACGGCTGAACTTGATGCTATATTCATCATCCCGCTTCCACCATGACTCCTTTGCACATCACTAGCCTTGCCAATACTTTATCTAATGAAGCTCTGGTCATGGCTCCCTTGCGTGCAGTTGAGGGTTTCAAGATTTATGTAGGAGCAGCAGAGGATGAGGCGAAGCAACTACTACGTGAAGCAGTAGAAAAGTTTGTGCTCGTGAGGTGGCTGCTCAGCGATGTGAGGTGGGTTGTAACCTGGAGCAGGTAGGAGGAAAATGAGGCAGATGAGCTGCAACTTGGGTGGTCACGCGAGCAGGGGGTTGTCAGGCAAGATGGGCGCGTATTCAAGCAAAGAAAAGGATAGATGAGTATTTGGGTGCCAAATACAGCAAGAAAAGGAGGCCTTAGAGAGTAGAAATTTTACATCCGGAGGCCGGATGTCCGGAGAACGGCCCAGATGCAGCGAGGAGGGCGGAGGTCCGATTCCTCCCCTCCTTCGCTGCATCCGAACCTTTGTCCGGACATCCAGAGTCCGGATGTAAATTTTTTTCCTAAGAGAGAGTGCTTCTCTGGAGGCTGAAAACAGACGGGTTGTGATGCGATGCGCAAGGTGTTTTGTGGTCACCTAATGTGATGGAGAGAGGAAGGTGATCAAGGAGGCACATGCTGGTAGTGAAAACCAGAGAAGGGAAGAAGAGCCAACTGCCAGGGAAAGTAGTGAGAGAGAAGCATTTGATGTTGGGTTGGGTTGGTGTTGCGCAACAGAGGGAGGAAGGGTCAAGGAAATAATCTCATATGCCTGAGGGACAGCTCGACCTGGGGGTGGCTTCGTTCTTTATGCAGAGGAGCGGGAGATGTGAACCAAGAAGATGGCTGCAGGTAAGTGTTATTAGATTTTATTATTTTATCAATCTTTTTTTTTTCTATTAATATCTTCCTTTCTTTGATTGGCTGAATTGGACAGCGCAGGTACGGGCAAAAGAAAGGTGTGGGGTACCAGTAAGAGGTAGGGTAGCGATTTGGCAGGGATAGGAGAGATAAAAATTAATTTTTTTAACTTTAATAGTTACAATAATATGAAATTATTTTAATCTATATATATTATAAGATGACTAATTTATGTATATTGATCCAATCTTGTAAATCATCATTATTATTTCAAATTCATGCCATCGCCTTGAACTTTTTTGATGCTTCAATTTGCATGTCAACTCATGTGCAAGGACCCAACAATAACAGTGTCTTTTATGAGCAAATTTGACATCCTAGACATGCTCGTGTTATTGTTTTGTGAATGTAGCTTGTTTGAGCATGTTTGACAAACGTCTGATTCAATTTAAGCATGAATCACATTTCTTGCCCGCAATAGTTTATTTCTATTGTGTTTAACCAAATTGATCAAGAAATGACTTTTTTTAAATAGATTTTGATGCTTCAGACACATCAAAGCATTTCGTTTCATAAACAAAATTGTTTGAATCACTTCACCGACCCCACTCAGTGGGATAAAGGTTTTGTTGTTGTTAATTCGGAGGCTGTCGAAAAATTTTGTCTCAACTCCAATGACGTCGCATTCAAACAGTGTCATTTTTACCATATTCACTCAATTCATGTTATGGAATCAATTAAAGTATAAAAAAATCGATCAACTCAGCACCCAGAAAAATGATGTGTATGAATATGAAGATGCAATTGAAGTAGAAGAATTATACCACAAACCCCATAACTACTCCATGCAATTAACAAGCATCCTGTAGTGCTCCAGTTAACCAACCAACCAATTAACTGAATTCACTCAAATAAGTGAATATGCAATTCAAAATTCATGCTAACTTTGAAGTTTAATTATAGAAATCGACAATGGCACAGAGCCTCAATTTAATACTAGTAACCAAAACAAATTTTCAAAGATGAAAAAAAAAGATCCTAACATACCATTTACAAGTAACTCTGGGGATAGTGGCCATTGCATCCGAAACTGGACTTTATCATTCAGTAACATACACCAAATCTGCAAAAAAAACTGAAATAATAAAAAGTTCAGTTTAAGAAATGCAAAGCAAAGTATTTGGCCATCGACGCACTCACCAAAACTTCCTCAATAACAAACTATTTATCACATATCCTCACTCAAGCAGGATAACCATACACAAATAAAATCTTGTGTCAAGGCTATGAAATCACTATAGTCTATGAATAGAGGAATTTTGATAGTTCAGATAAGGCCTTTTCCCTTTCATGGGCATCGTGTCCTCCCCCATTCTTGCACTTCCATCATCACTTCCTCCACATGCTCCACCCTCACTTCTCCTCACTTCCTCTCCCGGTTAAAGCTGACTTACTCTTCCTACTACGTTCTACTTCTTTCTCCATGCTTTAATCTTCCTCCCCTTGAACATTCTATCCATAGTCTCATTCTATTATATTTTAAGCTCAACAACTTGAGACATTACCAGCTATTACTAACATAGCATGGTATAGATAAGTCCTTGGTAAAGTAAGGATTAACAAGTTTAAGTTGGGTTCGGGAGATAAGAAGAATAGCATTGGTATGAGATGTGCTTTAAGAAAAAGAAAAAAATGTATGCTTGCTGACAAAACAAACACTTAATAGTGCATGTCAGGCGGCAAAACAAAATATCAAGCATACAATACTGCTTTGGATACTTGGACAATAGCCTATGACGTACTAGGCATATCATCAACATCATCTAATTTAATGTTGTTGTGACCAAACTTCTCAAAAAGCTTTATATCATCATACAATAATATTGGGACACTTGAGATATCAATTATACAATGCACTATGCACACAATGAACATCATCAAATTTAAAACATCAAAGAAAGTAGTCTGGAATTGTATCCATGGACTAATTATTATTCCATTTTAGAAAAAGAAAATCATTCATGAAGTTGAACAAAGAAAATTTGCTAAAACAAAATGTTCATTAAATTTATGGGAGAGAGTAATTGAACATAGGTTACGTAGTGATACAAAATTTCATAAAATCAGTTTGGATTCATGTTTGGTAAGTATTCTATGGAAGTTATAAATTTATTAAGAGGTTTGATGAAGAAGTACAGAAAAAGCAAGAAGGATCTACATATGATTTTGTTGATTTAGAAAAAAGTTATGATAAAGTTCCAAGAGAAATACTTATGAGAGTTCTTAAAAAGAAAGAGGTTGGTATTACTTATATTCAAATCATTAAAGATATGCATGCTAGAACTATTACTTGTGTTCGAACACAAGGAGGATTGGCCAAGTACATTCTTACTTCAGCTGTACTACCTCATGGATTGGCTTTAAACCCATATCTTTTTGTTTTAGTCATCGACATTCTTACTGGCCATTTACAGAAGGACGCACATTGGTGTATGTTGTGCAGTTGATATCTTTCTCGTAGATAAGACTAGAAAGAGAGTTAAAAAAACTTTAACTACACAGGTCAGCTTTAGAGTCTAAAGGCTTTCTTTTGAGTAGATATAGAATTGAAAGATACTAAAATAACCCAAATAATAATAGAAAAATCAAATATTATTGCTCCATTTAAATTGAAAATTACAACCAAACAAACAAAAATAGGAAATAGCAACAAACATGATATACAATACGTGAGCAAGTCGGTAAATGGGCTGGACAATAGGAAAAGCAACAGTCAAATGCGGTTTTGCATGACGGTGGCGGAGCAAGAGGGCTGAAATAGCAGGACAACAACAACACTCTACTGTTTTGGTCAGCAGCAAGGTGAACTCTATATTTCTGGAAGGCGATGACAAGGTGGAATAAATTTGGTCAACAACAACTTTCTTTCATTCATTTTTTAAATTATCACCCAAACATCCAAATTCATGATAAAATCCAACTCTTACTTTTCTTTTTTATCAAATTCCCAATATTACATATGGACAAACCTAACATGAATAAATTTGTAAAACTATTGTGACTTCTAGAATTCCGTGTGGGGCAGAATTGAGTTGGGAGGCAACAACAAGGTGGAATGCTGGTCAGAAAGGCATCAGAAAGAACGCTAGTTCTGGAAGGTGGCAGAAAGGTGGAAGCAAGAATTGTTGGGGTTGGAAGGGGGCAGGAAGGTCAAAAGGAGGATAGGGCGGCTGCAAGAAAATAGTATAGAATGTTGACCTTGGGTAGCTACAACAAGGAAAAGAGTGACCAGGAGCGATGTGGTGAGGATGCAAAAGGGATAGAAAAGATAATCCCATCCCGGGAGCGAGATACAACCAGAGCACTACTTGATCCTTAGATACAACCCTAGGCAGGAAAACAGAGATGTTGGTGGCTATCTCGGACAAACATATGACAAAAACAAACCCTTAACTCTCACAAAAACGAATAAATAAGAGTATGATAACTAGGAGTGGGCCTAAGGGAATGACCAACACTCCATAGCAGAGAAAAATTTGGAACAATTTGGTCTAGGCAAGCGTATGAAACATCTGCTTTCCACACGGGTAGTTCTGAATGGTATGACACGCGTCAGTCTCCGGAATCGGTGGAGTTTCGACCTCATCCGTCGAAGCTTATGTCTCCTTGTAGTATAGTGTCTGGTCGGTCACATTGAAAGTCATGAAAATAATGTAACCTCAATGTAAGTCAATCATGCAGGCATTATCATTCTAAAACATATCCAAATAAAATAAATATTCATTCTCTTTGGACATAACCTGAGTCGGAGTTGCATATGAACATAGATTCTCACAAAGTAACTCTTGAGCCATTAAATTAGTATGTTGTCTCTCCCACTCCTTGTACTTGACTGGATGCATCTCATAAACAATTTCATCTAGAGAAACAAACTATGGAATGAAATTTGTGGTATGTTAGACAACTCTCAATTACAACCACTCAGGGGGGGCCCTTCTTCTTCTTTGGAAGAACTTGGATCCAATTTTAGAATGTTCTTTCCTACGAAACCCCTAAGATGATTTCCAACACTGGTTCATCCCCCATGTCTGACCATCGATCAGTGGATACACTGTCGAATTGAATTTAATACTCAAATGACTTCATATTATCTTTTAAAAATAGCTCAAATACTTCTCATCTTTGACATTAATAGAAGCAACTCAAGAGGTAGGTTAGACAATGAAAATTTTGAAATTCTCTTATCAGAGATTGACATATGTCTAGTGTAGATTTCTCGAGCTCATGCCCATCTTAGACAACCAATGATACTCTTGTTGGAGTCTCTCTCATGGGCACAGCTTGAATGACCTCCATCTCTCCATCATCAGTTAAAAGCCGACACTCCTTTGAGTTCTCACCATCTTCAGTGTCTATTGTGTCTCTGTTTATTTCTTCAAAGGTTCCCTTAGTGAAAAAGATCATTGTCATGTTTGGGCAATTGGATGCATTGCACCCAAAATCATGGCGACTGACGCACTTTCTGGCTGGTATTGATTTGAGAATGTTGGTCGGCTCCACCTATTCTTCACTTTGACTTAGCTTCTCCTCATGTGGGATCTGCTTGGATGCTCGACTGGGTGTACTCTTGTCGTTTGGTCCTAGTATTGAACTCTATACGTAAGATGTGGCAGCCACCTTGTGATATTGCCTCGAGAACATGTCTTACTAGTAATGAGCTGGTAAGTACTTGTGTAGTATCTATCATTTCATCTTAGACAAGATAATGATTTTGTTTTTCCCTTCCCTCCGGATTAGGTGCTTTAAATTTTCCCACCATAACAATGCGATCTTCTTTAACTTGATGGTGACAATATTTACAATCATGCTTGGTGGGATGTCTTGATACTCAAAGACATGTTTCATTGCCTGGAGCCACTCGATGAACTCCTCAATATCCATGCAACCATCAAAATATGGCAAGCAATCATGCACTCCAAAATTCTAACTTTTAGAATATTTCATGCCAACTCTCCGAGGAATTGGTTGTCATCACTAGGAACTGCTCTGTCGAAAAGATTCACTTTATCATCTCGATTTGATGAATCAACTTTGTGGCTACAGGTGACCCTTCTGTATTGTTTCATCTCGAAGGTAGTAAGCCTCTATTGCAGTTGAATGACTTCTCACAACATATTTTCCATAGAAATTTCTCGGACATCTCTTTGCGGATTTCTTATAAGCGGAACTCCGTCATTTCTACCCGATCCATTTTTCGGCAACTGTCCATTCGGTGACGACGTTAGGGTTTAGATTTAGGGAGGTGGAAGGTGTATGGGTTGATTTAGGTGGGAAAAAAATTTGGGTGGCTGCTTTGAAAAAACAACAAGGAGAAGGTTTTTTGGGTGGAGTTTGGGTTAGGTAGTAGTGGAATTTGGTAAACCTGGGATCGGAGGCTAGCTCTTATACCAAGTGATACCGGAATTACCAAAAATTACAATAGAAAAATCAAATATTATTGTTGAATTTAAATAGGAAATTATAAACAAACGAAAATAGAAAACAACAACCCGACAAACAAGTGATTAGGGTGAATTTAAGGTGATGGTGATGGCTATTAGGGGCTCGAAAAGGTGGCAACAAACTAGGGAAGTGGAGTAGGGGGCGGGCACAGTAGGCACATGCTGTCTACGGGCGGCAACAAGCAGAGAGGTGGGCTGGATAGCAAGAAAGGCAGCGGACAGATGCTGTGTTCTGGGCAGCGGAAGTGAAAAGGGCTAGAATATTTAGACAATAACAACACCTTACTGTTTTGGGCGACAACAAGGTGGAAGGGAGGAGCGTTGGGTTGGAAGGCGACATCAAGGTGGAACGCTGGATCAGAAAGGCAGCAACAAGGCGGAGCACTGGTTCTGGAAGGTTGAAGTATGGTGGAAGGGAAAAGCGCCCGGTTGGAAGGCAGAAACAAGGTAGAAGGGGAGGACAAGGCGGCTGGGAGGTTGGTGACTGCAGAAAAACAGCATTGACTACTGTTCTTGGACGGCTCTCATGGGGGAAAAGAGCTACCGAGAATAATGTGGGCAGAATGTAGAAGGGGATATGAAAGATAATCACCACCTCGAGAGCGAAATACAACTGAAGTACCAATCAACCCAT